GGGGCTGGGGTGATGGGGAGGTGTTTTGGGGGACACTGGGTGAATGGGGGGCTTTGGGGATCCGCAGTGCCGGCCCCCGCAGTGCTACTGTCGCCAGCCGAGCTGCTGCTGCCAGGGCTCCTGTGCCTGCCCCACTCTGCCCGGGGGCCCCCCCGCACCCCACCTGGCCCCCCTAAGCCCGAGGCCAAGACCATCGTCCCGGCCCCTGCTCCCACTCCTCCTGGCCCCCAGGAGGTTGACGTGAGTACCCCCTGTGTGACCCCTGACCCCCACGCGAACCCAACCCCTCAATATTCCCCCCCCGAGTGTCCCCTGTCCCTCCTGGGGTGTCCCCCATCCCAGAGCGTCCCCATTCTCCCCAAGGGGTGCCCCGCTGTCTTGGGTGTCCCCTGTCATCCCGGGCATCCCCCCCTCCTGGGAGCCTTGGGGTCCCCTCCACTGGCCCCCCAGTGACCCGCGGGTGCAGGCAAAGGTGCTGAAGCGGCAGCAGCGGATGATCAAGAACCGGGAGTCAGCATGCCAGTCGCGGCGCCGGCGCAAAGAGTATGTGCAGGGGCTGGAGGAGCGGCTGCGCCAGGCCCTGGCCGACAACGACCGCCTGCGCCGTGAGAACGGGCTCCTGCGCCGCCGCCTCGATGCCCTCCTGGGCCAGGTGGGGCCTGTGGAGGGGCTGGGGGGGTGGCCCTGCTTGGCTGCGGCACAGGCTGTGCCCCCCTCCGGCCCTTGGCGGCATGGCTTGTTTCCCCCATCTCGTAGTGGTACAGTCTGTGTCCCTGCATCCCATAATGGTACAGTCTCTGCCCCCCCACCCTGTAATGATATAGTTTGTCCCCGCCCCATCCCGTGGCGGTACAGCCTGTACCCCCACCCCCGGTCCATAATGGTGCAGGCTGCCTTCCGTGTTCTGTAATGGTATAGTGTGCTCTCCTCTCGGTCCTGTAATGGTACAGCTTATCCCTCCCCATCATACAGCTTGTTTGCCCTCGCACGGGCCATAATGGTACAGCCCATTGGGGGGGCGGGGGGCCGCGGCTCATCACCATGGTAACAGCCTGTACCATCGCAGGGCTTTGGAGGGGTGCCCCAGTGCAGGGGGGAGGGCTGTGGCATGTACCATTATGGGGGCAGGGGTGCCCCATGGTGGGTGGGGGTCGGGATGTACCATTGCAGAGGGGTTTGGGGGGGCACCACTGCAGGCTGTGCAGGGCAGACCATTGTTGGGGGGGGCA